GTGTGTGTGTGTGTGTGTGTGTGCGTTCTACTTTATTTTCTGCCCTTACTAAGAAACTAAGAATGACAGTGACTTCAAGAACATGCTTTCCATGACTGTGGTGTAAGTGAACACTCGATCGTTATAGTCTGAGAGCAATGTTTAGATTTTTTAAATCCATTCATTAAAACAAAAAGAAGAGTTGAGTTGAAAGAATAGTTGAGTTGGCGAGTAATGGAGTGCTGGTAAAGAGGGTGGTGAAATCCAATCATAAATTTAGAAAAATGCAATAATGAATGGTAATCCAGTTATAAATAGTAAAAACAATGACTTTTTTTGAAAAGCTAAAAGCATCTTTGAACAGAGAAAGTTTCATACAATGTAGGGTTGTATAATGAAATTCAGGAAAATTCACATGCACATTTAAATGAGCAATAAACTACTGAATAAACTACAACTGCAAAGACAACGGTAGATGCTTATGTACTGTGCTTAAAGTACTTTCCTCATAGCTGCAGTTAGCTAGTTAGATTGGTTTCGACCAGAGGCCTCAAACAGCCGGCCGGTGTCCCATTTCCAGCTCTCCATTCCTCTCTGGCCTGCAAGATTTGTTTTATTAGTTTTTTTTTTTTTCATTTGTTTCATAACAATTTGAACTATCATATACAATTAAAATAAAAACACACCTAAACGCCCACAAATGCATGCACTCGGTTGATAAGAAGAGAGCAGGTTTCCTGGCTTTATTTGTTGTTTGTCTACGAACAACAAAGCTGATATAAAATTAAAATTAAAATGTATAGGAACTGCTGTTTGCATATTTTTATTAAGTACGATGTTAATAATGGAAATATTGTCAGAATATTGCACTTTCTTGTAGTACTTGACATTAAAGTGCCCCTCCTATGAGATGACAATACCAACAGCAAGCTATTTTGAGTTGGAGACCTCTGGTATTGCTTTAAATCAAAATCTGCTTCTCTTAACAGGCAATATTCAAATTGCAGTTGGAAGCGTTTGTCTTGAAAGCGATGTAATAATGTTTCCTTTCCTGAGCAGACTTGACCTCTGACCTTGTGTCGGGAGTCACAGGGGTCAGCACACTGTGGCCTGGTTTATTTGCCTGGTTTTTCCAAACATCCGTTACAAATTACCGAGTGTGTGTGTGTGTGTGTGTGAGTATGTAATATGTCTGTTAATGTTTGTGTGCATGGGTGTGACACTGCCTTCAACACTGTCTTATCATAAATTACTCTCTGAGATAAACAGTGGAGGCTTTGAGAGGAGATAAAATGGGGCATTCGCAAAATGCATACTGCCTTGTTAAGTACAAGTAAAGGTAAACAGATTGAACCTGTGTAGCCCCATTTTCCAGCCACCATAAATATATATTTACTATACTGAACCAACCTAATTAATGAAGGTATATGAAAGTCACCTGATGCTTAATCTTACAGGACTGTGTGGGAACACATCTGCATTTATCATTTGATGACATATACATTTTTTAAAGCTCAAATTTCCAACTGTCTGAAAATTATAAACCAAAGGAAAAGTGTAATGTTTTTGAGTCCACAGCCAAAACTATCCTGAGACAAGACTGTAAGAGTCCTCAGCTATGCTAACAGTTCTTTTAGGCTGGACATAGGCACAGCAGTGCTTCACCAACATGCTGACATGCTCACATGCTCACAGTCACAATTCTAAAACACTGATGTTTGGCAGGTTTAGGCTACCTAGTTTAGCAAGCATTTGTGAATTAGCAGGTACAGCTATGGCTGATAGGAATGTAATTTATTTTGCAAATATTTGGTCATAAACTAAATTATTGGACAAAGTAAAATCATGACCACCACCATCAGCATTGCCATCTGTAGGGCCGCGCCACCAGCATGACTAAGTTATACTCACATGCTGAGTTAACTGTGGATCACAAAATCAGACTCTTCATGTCTCTGTAACTGCATTATGTGAATGTAGACGTATCAACAGTTAAACAGCTGTCTGGCTGATCCAGTGTGTCAGGGCATTAGTGAGTGTGTAATGAGAGGTTCCTGTTTGGTAACAGTGGTAAAGATAACTGATTATAGCCATGTTTAGTCTCCAAGAAGATGAGTAAATAAGTATCTTGTCACTGTTTTGACCTATGTATATTATGTGTGAAACCAGTCATGGATTCAGTCGTTTTGTTTGACTCAACCATAAGAGCTTCAAATCCAAAAGGCACTCATAGTTCATCCTGACAGACTTTGACATATAACTAAGTAAACCATTAGTCACTGTGGCAAAGTGCTTTGTATATGGACATAAACATGAAGGTCCTGACCTTATGAGTCATGGGTCTGCATTATAAACTAAATGAAGGACAGCATACACTTAGCGTTGGGTCTGTGTTTATTAGTCTTCACACGCGCACAGGGGAGAGGCTGTGGAAGTGGATGAAGGAAGGGTTTGATGAAAGAAAGCTAAGAAAGAATCGCTTTCTGTATATTCTAAAGTAAGACAGCTAGAGTTAGATGAGAGGATCGATGCCGCTCTCATGTCTGATAAATGTGAAGCTACAGCCAGAATCCCTTAGCTCAAGTTGCAGTTATTTCCTGCAGTCTCCACTGGTTGTCTCAAGAAATAAGCGGGCACCTAACCCCCCATAAAACATGTAATTCTTAGACTTTGGTCTTTGCGCAAATAGACAAATAAGATTCAATGTGTTAGTTAGTTAACTTTAGAGGTGATGGATTTTGGTGCTGTTGCCAGAGCTAGGCTAGCTGTTTCTCCCTGTTTTCAGTCTTTACGCTAAGCTTCTAGCTGTAGTGTCATATTTAACAGAGTGGCATTGATCATCTCACCTAACTGTCCACAAGAAAACAAATCCCCAAAATGTTAAACTGTTCCATTAAACTGAATTAAATCCTAATAGTATAATACATTTTCGGTGAAAAAACATCTAAAGAGCAAAGATGGAAAGAAAGAGTAAAGACAAGATGGACAGTTTATTCAGACATCACTTCACTGTGAATACCCACCACTATGACGAGAAAACCATCGCTCACCACACTGCATGAGTGTGTGTCTGTGGACAACGCCCCACTAGAGACTCTCATAAAACATCTGACCATCAACAGGATCACAGTCACAGTCTGAATGACCGTCGTCTCCATGAATTTCTGTGTGACCATAATGCATTGTACACCCTGCCCACTGACTGGCCTTTGGCAATACATCGTACACACACATAAACACACACACACACACACACACACACACACACACACAATGGTAGATGAGTAGACTTTCTTATGGTGAGGTATTTGGTGAGTTTTTGACCCTTCAACACACACACACTGGCACATACAGGGACATATAGCATCCAGAATGTGGCCGTTTAGTCTTTTGTCTCTAATTTTTGTATTCCAACATACACAATCAATCTCTTAATTACTCCCTTCTTTCTTCTGTCAAATTTACTCCCTATGGGAAGGGGGAGTGGGGTGGGGGTATTTCAGTAAGATTCTGGGGAATGATGTAAGCATTACTCTATCTAAAATGCACACACACACACACACACACACACACACACACACAGTTGTTTAATGAGAAAAAGGTGCAAGCAGCACAATGCCTTGCGGAGCAGCCAGACCATTGGTCCACCTCTCAACTGTTCCCCTCCCCCAGCGTTCTCCCCTCTTTTAGTTCCACATCTGTTTCCCAAAGTTTGGAAGGGGCCTTGGAGAGAACAATATCTGGGTCAGAGTAAACTCTCTCTTTCTGTGTGCATGTGTGTGCGCAAGCATGAACGTGTGTACGACATACCACAATCATTGACTGTATGAAGACTCTCACACTCTTTGATCCTGAAGTGCAGTGTCCCAAATGGGCGTGTGTGGTTTACAGTATATACAACAGTTATTCATAAATGGCTTTGAGTGAAAGCCAAGTTGAGACATTATCATCTGCATCCTGCATAAATCTTGAAGAAAGGGAAGTTCAGAAAACGAAGAAAGGGAAGTGTAATTTCCCATGGATAGACTGCACTACGTAATGTCTTACATTATTTTTGTATTCTCTTGAAAGATTTTGTTAACAGTCACTTTCATACCAAAACAAACAAAACAGCATTATAAGCTATCCTAAGTGTTACTGGCAACAATATTCCTCAAATTACTCATCATTGTTTTAACATTAAATGCTAAATATTCTTTCTTTTTTAATTTTGTGAAGAAAGGTTTTACCCCATCTGTGACACAGAAGGTTTCATCTACCCAAGCACATACTTTTTTTTCTTCCAGTTTAATGTCCATTGGAACATGACTACAGTATATGCTGCCACCTTTTGGACAAATAAGTGACTGACTGACTGACTGAGTACCTTCAGCTGCTGGACTGAGAAAATTACAATTACTTTTATTCGTAAAAAGGTGAGCAAGAAACAACCCAGTATAACAGAAAAGGGTTCATATTTTAGTATCATCATTAAAATCAATTAATAACGTGTTAAAGATGTTTGTGTTGAGATAAAGAAAGACATTTAAATGGATTTTCTCCTATTTATTACAGTATAGACAGTAAATACATCTTTGTACCTGCAGAGGGTTTCTTAGCTTTTTGGATCTGGGTGTCCATATACCTACAATACCAAACCAAAAATAAAAGAGCTCAAACAAACACAAAAAACATGTTTTAACCAGAAGTATCTCTACCTGTAACATTGGCCAATCCTATACAGAGCACCCGAGTTTCCCCAGCTGCACAACAGTTACAAGTGCAACAGAAATGCTATAAGAAAGAAACTTCTAAAAGTTGATGTTATATATATATGATATTCATATTGTGATATTGTCTAAAATAAACTTTTAAAAGAAAATTCAGAAATTAAAAACACAGCATTTTTACAGTGCATTACAAACTGTATCTAAACAATACAGTAATTGTGCAACTTACCAATACGCAGTGGAATAAAATTAGTTCACTCAACAGGACACATCAAATAGTAGGTATTTGAGGTTTGCCATTAGAATTAAATTTGCCTCTTTGCCAACTAAATGAATAGTAGAGAGTAGTGCACACAGTATTGTCATTTGTCATCACTTGTCTTTACTCTCTCTCAACCTTTATGTCTTCATCTGTCTCTGTGTCTCAGCCTACTTTCTTGGGATATTTCTCTTTGGCCAGTCTGACAAACTCTTCAGCACTGTCCAGTGACACCAGGCGGTCCTGAAAGAAAGATGGAAGGAGATGAATGAAACAAGTAAAATCAGACACATAACAACAGTGAGGGGAGATAATGGAAGAGAGGAGGGAAAGACTGGTGACCTGAAGATGGGAACATGTGAAAGCATACTGTAGTTTTAAAATTAGATCAAAATGTGCCCTAATTAAACTCGTATTGACTGGTACAGAGCTGCCCCTTCTTCTTTTTATTAAGTTACAGGAGTTAAGATTGAATTTTCAAAATCCTTCAGACTTTCCAAAATGGGTCACTTCCTTAAGTTCACCTTTGAAGCTATTCTGCTTTCCGTTGCGAAAACACTGTTGTTTACATTTTGCCAAAGCATGCTGGGAGTGTGTGTGTGTGTGTGTGTGTGTGTACCATGACATGAAGGTATCTGCTCTGGTGTCCAGTCTCTGGAGGAAACAGAGAGGTGTGGTCCAGCAGCTGTTCCAACAGTTCCGTCGCTTTGTTAAGATGCTCCTCATCTCGACTGAACCGGCTCTGTCTGTTGACACACAGCAAGGCATCTACCTCACACTGATAACCTGCCGAGAGACGAGGGAAGATCACACACTGACAGCAGAGTACAACAGAATATTGTAAATTGGATATTTTAACTAAACAGAATCACATCAAAGTGTTTCACCTAGCTGCAGCAGGATTTTCTTCCATCGAGATCTGACTTCTCGCCTGGCATAGCGTAAAGTGTGTATGTCATAATTCAGCTTCTCCCATTCCTATAAGCATACACACAATATATCATGTAATAGGTCTTTTTGGACAACCAAACTTTTTACGGTTAAAAGATAAACGACATATGTAGTCACATCTTAAGTTTTTAACAACTATATATATATACAGATATGTCGCTTAATTATCTTTTAACCATCTTTAAAATATGGTTGTCTTTTCAGCATAGACAAGTCAAGCACATAGCATATCTTAGCACAGGAAAGGAGAAAGTTGACCGAGGATCCAACGGAGGTGGGACAGGGTTTGGATGATTTTCAGCCATTGTGAGGCTATGGTGCTTTTTAAGTAAATAATTTTTGATGGTAAATGTGATTTGGTGACCCAGCTTCAACCTGAGCAGCAGTCTAATCAGTCGGTAAATTAAAACATTTGTGTTGGTGTGCAGGGTCACTTCAAGGAAACAATAAAAACTTTCTTGAGCCAAACAATCTAACTAGTAATGTTTGAAACTGGAGAAAAATAATCTAAACTTTAAAGCAGAGAGACAGAGTGGCTTGTTCTAATTTCTTTACTGGGCTAGTTTTTCCCCAGTGCTGAATTACCTTTTAATGTAACAGACCATTCCTCAGTTTGTTTGGCCTAATATTAAAAACAGTCTCACAACATGATCGGGATGGTTCAGTGAATATTCTCTTTGAATGGCCAGCCAGGCTGTTGGCCTACATCTCCATCAAGGAATTCATTAACACAATGTGCCCACTGTGTCCTGCAGCCTGACTATTTTCCACACGAAGACTGTCTGTCACATGTTCACCAAACTTAAACTCTCTGCTCAGAGGTTGCAGTCGCACATCCTGACATTTTCAGGTAAAGCCTTTGAGTTATGGTCCCAATGTGTTTCCTCTGCATAAAAAATAGTAAGAATTAAAGATAATATTGAGCTTATCACCAAAAATAGCAATATCAACCTTTTTGGTTCATCCTATTTAAAAGAAATAAGTAAAACTGATTTTCTGAATGTGGGTACGAGGTACTGGAGTCAGTTACAGTTCAATCTGTGGTGTTCATGACATTTCAAGCCCTCCAGTATAGTAGTTTAGTACGTAAAGCAAGCACTGAGTGGCTTTCTTAAGTCCAAACATACAAGTATTTTACTGTATGTACTGCAGGGATCATCCTTTAAAGGTACCATTATCCACCAACACACACACGTACATGTCTAACCAGTTTTTAACATAGTGGACAACCTACAGTAAGTTACTGTGTGAGAAGTACTGGGTCAATAATTTAGTAAGTGAATAAAGACGCATGTCACCTTTCTGTGTGTGTGTGTGTGTGTGTGTGTCAGCTTCTTTTAGAATGAGGACAAACCAGACAAAAGCTCAATCAATCAACGACATTGACCTTTTACTGTAACTGTTGATCAAATTAACAGTCAAAACTCTCCTCATACATTTTCTGAATAAATGCTAATAATAGTATATATATATAATATATATATAATATAATCATATATTTAAGCATATACTCAATCTTCTTATTAACATTTAGCACCAGATGTAGCTACAAACTGTCTCCTGTCATACTTTCCTTCATGATTTTGCAAACACCACGTTAATTTCTTCTGTGTGATATTTATTTGGAATCTAGGTCAAATTAATTTACTAATATATGTCAACATTAAAGTGAGTCAAAGGCTTCTTTGACAGCAACCTGTGTATGTCCTCTCCTCTTATTATATAATTACATTAGAGAGCCGCATTGGACCAGACTGAATTACTGAATTACTGTAGTCCCTCCTGGTACTAGTACACGTGTGGATTTGAAAAAGAATCGGGCTATGGAGAAATACAGTTAATCTTTATCCAGATCTAAAGACCAGGTCTCTGCTTAGTTTAATTGTGGGAAACTGATCAACTAAAGCCATGCACAAAAAATAATGTCAAATGGATTTAAGTATTCACTGTTAATAGTAGTCAATAGATGATAATCTTTTGTCAGTAACAAATTGTAAAATGTAAGAATGTTATAAAAATGGCTTTCAAGCGTAAAATTGAGTCTTTTGCTGCATTTTCAGCATCCCAGCATGTACAATGTGCACTCACGGTTGTGTATGTGTACAGATATAAGTGGTGTCTACCATCTATATTAAACAGTAACTTTAAAGCTCCACCTTCACATTTATTCACAGTTGATATACATCCAATTTCCAGATACACTAAACAGATTAGTTTATTAAACTGATTAATAATTAGCTTAATCTGTCAAATTTACAATACCACACTTATTCTTAAAACCAATTAACATTCAACCATGTGGTGAATCTAAATAATGAAGTGACTGTGGTAAACTTTAAATAGTGTATCATGTGTCCTGTCTAGATTTAATTTTACTCCTTGGTATGTGCTACATACCAAGGAGAGGGAGAAGAAGTTCTATCTTCAGGGATTAGTTGTTGTTAAAATATGCAGAAATACCAGATTTTTTAAACAAAAAATTTATACAGTGAAAGGATGTGAACAGATATGCTGCTGCTTGTGTCTATTTGTGTAATGTGTAACTCGCTCTCACGGTGTCTCTTCTACATCTCATAAGCAGCTACAAAACTCTTTCTCTCACCTCTGTAGCTTTGTCAGCCTGGTCTCTCATGCTGATAAAAGCCTGCAACTCCCTGTCTGATCCTCTCCTGATGGGAAATTCACAAGGTCTGTTTACGGTGGCCCATGGATCCACTGGGCTCCTCTGGCTTGGCTGATGGTTCCATGGGCTCTTTCTTGACGGCTGTGGCCCAAAAAGGCTCTCCCCTTCTGCCTCACTGTCACTGGAGTCACTGGACAACAGCTCTGGTTGTCTAGAAGCTGTGGGGGTGTGCATGCTGGACAGAAGGAAGAAGAAGAAGAGAAAAATACTGGTTTAAAGGTTTGAAACTCATCAAGTTGAGTTTGATTTTATTAAAATAAACAAAGATTAAAGGCAGGACTTTGGGTTGTCATCACATCTGTTAGGTGTCTCACCGCAAAATAGCACTCTTCTCCTCCTTGTTGTGTCTCAGGTAGTACCGACAGCAGCAGATGGTAAACTTGGCACCCATCGGCCCTTTCCTTTCCAAGTTCTCTGCAATCAAAATATTCTTCCTGACAAAATCCTCAAACAGTCACACCTCCTCCCACAGGATTCCTCAAGAAATCTAAATATTTCCAAGCTGAAATGTATTCATTTGCAAATGTTGAAGACTAAAACTCCAGGCAATATCTCAACTTGTAATGTCCGTCCCCCTTTTCCCTGTGCCTATCCTGGCCTGAATGAGAGCCATCTGTCAATTACATTATCCACGTGAGCCCAAACAGGGGTCAACAACAACAACAACAACTCACACACACAGGACAGTTCAGTGATGAATGGCACATTTATTCAGCAACTCCTGATGGTGCAGAATGCAGCAGGAGGTTCTAGCTCTATTGTTGCAGATTCACTGCACAAGCTGTAGTTTAGACCTAGATTGGTATTATCATGTACTGTTTGCTTTGTAATTGGTTATGTTGTGGAGAAACTTAATGAGTGTTTGGGTCAGACAAACATACATGAAGAAGACAGCAGAATACCTTGTGATGTCAGGTGTTATATAATTTTAGTGGCACATCATAAATGTTAATATGTAACTTATTCAAAAGTTGGTCTCTCATAACATGTATTTACCTTTGTGTGGGCCCATAAAAAATATTATTTGAGATCCAGGGTCACCTTGCTGAACCACTGCTACTGCAAGCGACTGACGGTAGTGTTACTGCTCTCCACCCGGTACCTACTGCTGCAGCACTAACAGCACTGAGTGAGGTGTCCAGGAGAGAGACGGTAAAAGTCTAAACTAAGAACGAGCAAATGGAGAAGAAGACGCGTACATTCTGGATAGTAGGTTTGTTCCTGCTCGTTTCAGAGACTTCTAACAGGTGAGTGTTCAAACTTCTGTTTGAGCAAATTTAATTTTGTTTCCTTTTCTCAATTATATAAATTCAGGCATTCATGAAACAAAAGTTACACCATTAGAACAAATTTTGTTTTGTAAATGGTTTTACTTTATGAATTAATGGAGTTCATAAATTAATGAGATTATATTTGCATGTATTCCCAACTGCACAGCTGGCATTGTCCTTTTCTTAGAAAGAGCTTAGGTCCAACTCAAACCTATGTTCATTTTAGCACTCATCAAATCTAAATCATGACATATTGGAAATAATTGTAAATTTTTTAATTCCCAGTTTAGTGGAAGGTTTGGAATCAACACGGATCTATGACTACACCAAATATCACCCCATGGATGAGGTAGGAGTCTATCTACAACATAGACGTTTCCAAGTTTTATTAGTAATGTTAATTCGAGATTTCACAAATAGTCTCCAGAGTCTCCACAAAGTCAGTGAGTTTAATATTTTTCTTTTCTGTAGGTAAGACAACAAACTCTTGATGAGAGCAACACAGATAGATGGGTGAAGTGTTTTTTAAATAGTAGACGAGTTCACCAGAGCCCTGGATTACCAGACAGAATGCCTTATTATAAACATATCTTTCTCTGTGTTGTCTCACACCCCTTTCTCCTCCCTTTGATTTGCACTTTAATCTTTGTAGATAACAGTTGGACAATGGCCAAAGAAAACTATAAATAGGCCTACCATTATGGAAATGAATTATCACAATGATTAAATTGCAATATACCAGATATACAGGTGGATGGAAGATGTGGAGCGAGGGAACCCAAAGTTGGTCTCCTCTGCTATCTACGGATACACTTATGAAGAAAGAAATATCACACTGCTGAAGGTATTTAACATGTTTTATTTTACTTGTGGTGTCACCTTTAGGAAGTGGGGAGTTAAAAGTAAAGTGCTAGCCCTCTGACAGTGACTGTGAAAAGCAGTAGTGGACACATGAAAACTCTCACATGGATATTCTTTACATAATGTTACTTAGTGAACTGCATATGGACTGTTGTCATTTTCCTTGCGATGGAAAATACAGCACAAGTGTGTCTTGTGTGTCTCCAGTTGGGCCTACAAACCCCAGAGAGCAGAGAGAAAAAAGTTATTTGGATGGACTGTGGTATCCACGCTCGGGAGTGGATCGCTCCTGCCTTCTGCCAGTGGTTTGTCAAAGAGGTTTGTACACCTTCAGTGATACACATATTCACCAAAACAACTACACTCTGACATGTAAGTGTTTGAAATTCCTCCTTTGTTCAGATTGTCAACTCATATAAAACCAATAAGAAGCTGGAGCAGATTCTGCAGAACGTTGACATCTATGTTACTCCTGTGATCAATGTGGATGGATACATATTCACTTGGGCCAATGACAGTGTGAGTGCTCAGAATTACATTTCAGTTCATTCAGTGCAGTTGATTCACTTAAAGCATAACTGAATTAATCAATGGAATGAATGTTGTCTGACCTCTGTGCCTGCGTTTGTGTGTTGTTCTCATGTAGACTCGTCTGTGGAGAAAGTCTCGTTCAACCCCTCCTCCAGACAGTAGCTGTTATGGAGTTGACCTCAACAGGAACTTTAATGCCAACTGGGGAAGTGAGTTGCATACTTTCAAGAATCACAATCTGACAAATTAACCCTTATTTACCTCAAGGGGATAGTGACTCAAAGCTCCTATGTGTAGGATTAAACCATTTTTGACATGACAAATTATACTGGTCACATACTGGAAACTTTTCAACTTTTCAAAGAAGATTCGATTTGGATAGATAGATAGATTTTTTTATTGTCCTTTCCAGGAAATGTGTTGCCACAGTCCGTTCATTGCCTAAAATGGTATTGCAGCCAAAATACCCCTTGCAGTTGAATATCTTCTCTATGTCAGTGTGCATTTCTGTTCCATTTTATGATTATTTTTGACATACAAAAGCTAATATAGTTTAAACCTGGTATATTATTTTTGAGCTGAAAGTTTTGTGTGGTATGTACTTTCTTTCCTCAGCAGTCGGGGTATCATTTGACAGTTGCTCAAATACCTACTGTGGGAAATCAGCCGGGTCAGAGCCAGAGGCTAAAGCTGTTATGGACTTTGTTGGTAACTGTCTGCCTATAAAATTACATTAAAAACTAAACATTATTAAAAATGAGACAGGAAGGTTTGTTACATCTTAAATTACATGTGCAGGTATTCTGTGTGTATCTAGGTAAGCTGGTTAACCGAACTCTGTGTTTCCTCACCATCCACTCTGCTGGGCAACTTATACTCTTGCCATATGGCCACCCTGAGATCTCTGCACCCAACTACAATGAACTGGTGCGTGCTTCTTTGAATTTGTATAACAGTAAGTCAAGCAGTAGACCTTTAGATAAAAGATACACAGCTTTTAAGAACAGCCCAAGGTTTATGAGACCAGTTTTAACACAGTGAATGTCTCTCATGCACATACTGCACTGATAAAACATTTCTGTAGACATTGTTAGTGTATTATTGTTTCTATTTTTATAATTTTTGTGAACTTTGCAGGTTTCAGTTGGTAAGGCAGCAGCGGCAGAAATGAAGAAGGTACATGGGATGGACTACACTGTAGGAACATCTCCACAAATCCTATGTAAGATTTCATACTCACACACTGACTTGACCCATTCTTTCCTTTCCTTGCTTGTCCTGAATAGCTGTTATGCACACGGTCTGATCTGCACTCCCTTTGACAAGGCGCTCTGATGTTTTTAACCTTAGCAACCTAAATAAAAACAATAAACAGGAAGGCAAATTAGGACACCAGTTGAAATAATCCACATCAGCCTTTGATGCCATTGTGAATGGATGGGATATAATGCATCATCTACATTAGATGTTGGGAGTTTGTATCATGTATCACTTAGACTCCATTTTGGGCAGTTATGAGCTAAGATACACAAACATGGGTGAATGAATAGCACACAAGTTAGTGGGAGTTGGCTAACCTCAAAACAGAGTATAGGAGGGTGAATGAAAGAGTTGAAAACTGGGGGAAAAAAAGCTGAAGAAAGTCTCCCTCATGTCTCAGACTGCTTTCTCCTTAACCTTCAGATCCAAACTCAGGCTCAAGTCGTGACTGGGCTCGTCTCATTGGCATCCCATTCTCTTATACCTTTGAGCTGAGAGACAAAGGTGAGTGGGACAGTAACGTGTACTCCATATAGTTATCAACCATACAACATAATCTACTGCCTTTTTATTTGATGATATATTAATAAATGATCTTCCAGGTGAATTCAGCCATTTGCTACCAGAGGAGCAGATTCAGCCAGCCTGTGAGGAGGCCTTCGCAGGAGCTCTCTCCATCATCACATATGTTCACGACAAGACCTTTGGTACCCTCCCTAATGCTGCTGTCACCACAGTGACAACCACAATTTCTGGGGTTGCTTTGACAATTTGGAGCACTGTCATGGTTGTGTCTCTCACCACAGGGGTCTTGATGTAGGACAGTGAAAACATACAAGGTCTGACCACAAATTCGTAGGCAACACTGGCTAACCTCTCCACAGCTAGATGTGATAACTGTGCTTTCAAAATAAATATTGCATTTATGCAGTTGGTAATCTATTGTATTGTCTTTCTGCCAGATATATTTACCCAAATTGTATCATTATAAGTGTTCATTAATTAAATATATCTATAAGCTTGATCGTAATAGCCTGAGGTCCTCTGTGCATGTGTTAAAACGGCTACATTATTACACTATTCATACAATTTTTTGATTTTGATAAGAAGGGACGGACTAGAAAACCATACAGTAGCTGTTTTCAGAGTGACATGAGGGTGATGTTGTTCCTGCTTTCTGCAGCAGAGGGAAGTATTGCACCATTTTATACAGCACATTGTTTCTCATCCATGCAGGCTTCTCACGCCCAGACATATTTTACAGCTTTATGGGACTGGAGGACTTTTCATACTGCATAGTTCTCTTCAATTTTAGGTTGGAACAGCCATCATAAAGATAGAAAAACACACTTTTTTATGCTTTTGGCTTCTTACATGTCTCCTGCACATTCCCACATCCAAAGAACTACTGTCAACATGACTCAATGATTAAGTTCTTGTCCTTAATAATAGCCTACCATACATCATTCATACCTTGAATTTAACTGATTATCACATGATCAAGACTTAATATGAGGCAAAGGGCTGGAGTTTGGTAACACAAAGGCCATTCTCTGACATCAGTTTCATGTCTTGATGATAATTATAAGTTGGGGATGTTTCAAGGGTTATCCTTCAGTCATTTTTTAAGTCAGTGGGGTCAGTGCAGTGTGGTTCTTACAGATAAATCAGTCGCAGTATAATAAACGCTGGTGAAAAACCAGACACATGTTGGTATTGCATTGAGATACATATTTGAATTCATACATGAAAATGTGTGATTATTAGAGCAGCAACAATTTTGAAGGCAGCTTCTATATTTCGAGTTTTGTGGCATTAGAAGGTGCAAAAAGTCTAAACGTGTTCCTCAGATACCCTCAAAATGCTTTTCCAGTTATATCTGAAGAGGATTTTTCTTTTCAGTGTCCTCTGTTGTTGGCAAGATTACACCACACCACAGAGCCAGCAGTAATTAGTCTCAGCTCAGTCAGGTTCCAGGTAACAATGAGATGAATTGAATGTTTTTTTGCTTGGAAGAGCAGGTTTCTGTTGAGAACTTTAGATATACAGATTTCCCTCAAATGTCCTCTCTCCCACTCTTTCTCTCTGAGATTTATATTTCCAGAGTGTATCCTCCCTTGGTACCTCAGTGACTGCTAGACCACCAGTTATTCACACACACACACACAAACCACACACCACCACCACACCACACACCAGAACCACACACTTACCATGACAATGTGAAACATTTGACATAGTGCAAGTTGAATACCTATGTTGAGGGTGAGTGGGATGGACCACTTCACCCCTGATGGTTGTCCCTATATAGGTTGTTGGTTGTGTGTGTGTGTTGGTGTGTGTGTGTGCGCGCGCATGTGTCTGTGTGTGTGCATACACTGTATTTGAGCCGCAGTGGAAATAGAATTATATTCCAGCTCACATAAAACCTCGACAGAACAGAGAGACGGGTCAAATACCAGGGGACCGAGAGAATAATAAGCAGGGACACTGACACACACATACATACACAGCCCTTCGGGGAACAAACTATTCACTGCTCCATCACTTACATTCATGAAAGATACTCACACATGACTTGGTGAGGCAGAGCAGAGCTTCCTAACACACATACACACACAAACATAAGAACTGGGCAGGGATTCAGAGACACAGATTGAAGGTGATTATAATTCACAGTGAAGTCTGGCTGGTTTAGTTATTACCAGCTCATCCATCTATTTGTGTGTGCGCATGTGTGGTTGAGCACTCATCAAGGTAGCAGGGGAAAAACACACCATGGACATATATATCACAGAGAGAGAGATAGAGAGAGCCTACCCATCGAGGAAGAGGTGATTGAAGAAGAATGGATGGAAGGAACAAAGAGGAATACAATAGAAAGAAGATGGGGAAAATAATGTACACCACATTCAGCACAGTGTGTGATTCATGAAACAAAATGCATTCAATTAATGTAAACGGTAATAACTTAATACTCAGGTCTTCTACATGAGAGAAAAATAAGGATGGTTCCACAATAAAACACTGTGAACATAACAGCATGTACCTTATTGTGTGCCTCAAGTAAGGAGATAATTGTCTTTGCATCACCCAGATCATTTGAGTCACTACCATGGCTGTGGAATATATTTATTTCCTAGCAGGTAAACAGCTTAAACATTATTCTTGTGAGGTAAATCAAAACAAGATGTAACTTTAAATAAAAAAGTAATTATACAATGTAGGCTACATCTTATATGACTACTTTCTATAGTGGCAAATGTTAGCTAATGTTAGCAAACTTCATGCGAATACATGAAGCTGTGTGTGCTTCTCTATTCATGCTGCTAACATTACAATAAAACTGTTGGTAATTATAACTTGCGGCCACAGTTCAACAAAAGTTACACAGGCTTGCTTTAAACTGCAAGTAACCATAGCGACAGCACTTGTGCTTCTTGTGAAACTGACCTAACCATGAGTCAAATTGATTCCAAACAAACTTGAATGACCATTTTGGCAGAGCTTTTCATTTTGCCCGAGGTAAATACAATAATACAATATAAATTGTTCTGACAAAATGCACACAAGGGAGAGAGAGTCACGAGGAGAAGCTGAATCTCCTGGAGGACCCGTACCCAGATCTGTAACATCTGGAATGAGAAACAGCCAGAGGGGGAGGAGGAGGAGAGAGGTCCCAGGATGGCCTATTGTCCTCAGATGTAGTCTCGTCTGCACAACAAACATGGACTACAAGCGCTAGGTTTAAGAGATTATTTGAGACTGAGACCAACCCAACTTAAGGATAATGGTAACAGGCAATGTAATCAAAAGTTAAGACGAAAAGATTTAATTTTGAATTTAAAGAAACCAACAGAAATGATTCCAGAGGAAGGAGGCATGATGGGAAAAGGCCATGCAATCTGATGACTTCTTTTTAAACTTGGAACAGACAGGAGCAGAAGGCACAGAGTGGAATATGGTTTAAGGAGATCAGACAGGTATGAAGGGGTGTGCCCATTAAGAAAGTCTTCAGAAGCAGCTTAAAGTCTGTTCTCACACAGAGAGCCATTGAAAGGAAACTAAGATTGGTGTAATATGGTCGAACTTTCTCCTTTTCATTATTCTGAACCATCTGAATTTCTAGCACGTGGCAGGCCTGACGAAAAAAGGTTATACAATAATCAAGTCAATGGCATTTGCTTTATTGCTTTATTATTTTTATCAAAAAAGTAACTTGGCTGTCAATTCAATGTTTTCTTTCAGAGACAGTTGGCAGACAGCAGTAGATCTGCGTGCTCAGGATACTTTTTTAGGAGCTGTAAACTACCAAGGTACTTCTCCAGGTTACCATACCATAGTGGTAAAGGTGATATTTACTAAGTGTTTTTAAAGCCAAGCCTTTACTGAAAAGAGGATTCAATAGATCATGAAGCTAAGACTTTTTTTAACCTATTTTTATTTCTCTTTTGACCCATCAAAAGCTCAATGAATCACATTGGTGCAGGGATATTGTTGGGACCCCCAAGCAAGAGTTCAACACACTATTTTAGTCTCCGATCAATATGGAACCAAAGGACACATGTGACAAGTGACCGCTCTGCTTCTGTGTCAGACAGCGGTTGCAGGTGAAAAGACAAAAAGACAATGGAGAGTTTCACAGAATCCAATTTGCTTTATTAAAAGGAATTTTGGTGATTGGACATTTCCCATAATTTTTCAACAATGAAAATCCTTTTGACATGTTAATTACATCCAGCTAAAGGAAATGATAGTAATATGTTTATTCAGGCTTAACTATGTATTTCTAGGGTGAAACAATATGTCTCAACTCCCTATGAATCCCCCAGGTGGCAGCCAGGGTTCAATTTCCAGACGTTTAAGGGGAAAAATTGTGTTTTTGTTTCTCTGCGTTGAGACTGTTGTGAGAACTTGCCCAGATTTGGTTTATATTTCTCTGCTCCACTCGGACAATAGTGAGAAACTCTCAGTGCTGCTTTCTTTTCAACATGTGTGCATGCCAACGACTTGATTTCCGCAGTATGTTAGTATTTTTCACCATCTTAAGCTGAGACTCGTGGGTTTAATGTGGCTCTTCAGGTCCTTTCAAACATGTGTGTTTCCACGTGTGCCACACACATTCAGATGATGAATAGAAGTGTGTGTGAGAGGGCTCCTCTGCTGTGGACCCATGACACATCTTTCCCACATACTTTTATTACTAATCAATGTAGATGACACCATTTTTTACACACTGTCACTGACGATCGATGGGAATTATGCCATGCTTTTTAACTGTCACTGGTAATCAATGAGGGTGGCGCCATCATCTGCATCTCCTGATCATTACATGTGGTGATCAATAACAAAGCTGGCTCGGGATGACACATGATCATCATACTGGCAGTTCACGATCTACGAGGTAGATATGTGTGCGTGTGTGAGAGACTGAAAATAAGTCGAATGGCAGACTGACAGGCAGACAGACAGAGGAAGGAAACTCACGAAAACATAAAAACATAGACAAAGGTGGCTGGAAAGAATTTGACACGAGAGAGACACAAAGCTCAGGAAGTGGAGCGGTCATATTTCAAAAAATCATTCTGTCAATGCTATCATCAGACAATACAGTAGATAACACAACCTCCCTCCCTCCCTTCCTTCCTTCCTTCCCTTCTTACTGTAGGTGTTCACAGTGGTGCCACTGGAAAGTGGTTTATGATGTGTGTATTAAAGGTATCGTAACTCTTTGCCAATCACCTTCTACCTTACTATGAGCACTAGGGTCCAACATGATTGCAGTATTTTCTGCCAAAATTAGAACAGTTTTGGTTATTTTACATGAGAGATGCAATACTTTGTTTTTCTGTCTATGCTCTTCTTACTGGTTTGAAGAAAGCACAGATCTGATGGAAAGAAGTGATGCAGTTTATTTCTGTGCACCGATC